GTTCCCTGCCTGTGGCAGGGGGTTGGAACTGGGTGAGCTTTAAGGTCCCAGCCTAAACCAGTCTGGGGTTCTGTGATCTTGGAGCTCAGCTGGAGGTGTGTAGCAATGCTGGGCTTCTGTGGGCTGTCCTAGAGGAGAACATGTTCTGCTGGGGCTCAGCCTGGAGGCTGCTGGCTCTGTAAGGCTTGGACAGCTGTGGGACCTGTTTCTACACTAGGGAGCCTCGAGGACTGAGGCAGAAGCCTGTGGCTTTAGCTACCCACCTCCCATGGCCGAGACGGGAGATTGCTGTAACATCTGTAGAGCCTCATATGCCCACAGCCTTGCTCGGAGCATGCTGGTGAACATGGTCTCCAGGAAAAGCCAGTCACCTCTGTGTCTGCACTTGGTGCAGTGCTTTTCTAAGGGCCCAGTTTATCCAACATCTGACTGCTTGAGCCCCACCTTGAGTCATAAAGGTGAGACCTTGACTTGCTCCAAAGTAAACAACTGAAATGAAGTCCACCTTCTCTGCCTGTGCTAGGAGACCACTGTTTTGTCCCAACAGCAAAGCACAGATGGGGCTGTGACTAGTGCTGCGTGTGGAACTATTTGGTTTCTCCTTTCCCCTCTTGTTCCTTTCTCCTGATTCCATGCAAGGTGTCAGTGTGGTTTTGTCACCCCCAGAACTCCTGTGCCGTGTTGCTGTGAGCAGTGAACAGTGCAAGGGATGGAAACAGTTCAGACAAAACCCGGCTGGGAATTTCACTTCCCATGCACATGTCAGCAGAGATACATAGAAGCAAACACAACAAGGGAGGGAACTACCCAGTTGCATTATTCTTCAGTGTTTTCCTGGTTTAAATGAATTCTGGCTTGTTGTTTCTGTCAATGGTGAAGCAGTCTATGAATTTCTTAGCTCAAGGGTTATCTCTTGCAAACGCTTTCCCTTCCTCCAGTAATGTCCTGTTTCTGGTTCAGAAATAGAGAGTGTGAAGTTAGCCAAGCAGAAGCAAAAGGCTGAAGCGAAGCGGAAAGCAACGCCCGTGGTGGGAGACATGCAGCCACTGATGGAAGCCCTGCCCGAGCTATCTGACCTGACCACCGGTGGCAGGGGCAGGAAGCCACCCAAGAGGTATGTGCCATTTAGGGATGGGCTGTGTTTTTCCCTTCTTCCTGCAGGATGAAGTGTCCTTCAGCTCAGCTTGTCGCTATAGGAAATGCAGTGGCAATGGTCAGGAGAACAGGGCCTTGTTCTCAACTCCATCTCACCCCTTTCCCTGCTTCATTTGCTGCAAGGAAAAAGCTTAAATGTCTTCTGAATCTACAGCTAAAAGGGGAGTCATATTGCTCAGGGGAGGCTTGGCAGACTTTCCAGGCTTGCTTCTGTCGCAGTTCAAGCCCTTTGAGCCAGAGATTTACACTCTGGCCAGACCCCTTGTTCACCCTGTTGCCTTGCAGTGTGACTCTGGGCAAGAATAGAAAGATGGTGTTTCTGTTCCTTTTATTCTACGGAAAGAGAAGGTCTATTTCTGATCTCTAACACCCACATGTCAACCATCCCAGCCAGCTGTAGGGTGGGTTCTGGCTGCCCTTATGTTGTCTCTTTTTTAGTCATGGAATGGTTTGTGTTGGAAGGGACCTTAAAGCTCATCCAGTTCCAACCCC